GAGCTCCAGCGACCCACACCCGCATATTCCTCATTCGAGCACTGGCAAGTGAGGAAGTAACAAAGTGCTGTTGTGACTTCACTTGTCAGGGGTGCGCATACCGGAACAAGCAAAATACCCGAAGCAAGCCAGGGAGGGAAATATTTGTAAGCATAAGGCACTCCGGGCTAATTCTGCAACGAAAAAAACAAGAACGAGTTTTGAAAGTTCTAGAGGCGACTGTCTGGATTTTAGGTGGGCTTTGATTGCTGACTTCACTTCTCCTTCAAGAGTCTAGTTGTACGATCATTGATGTAACTCACGGCTCAGCTTAGAGGCGATGATTAGGGCCTTTGCTACCAAACTTACTACTAAGGCATCCACCTGGGATCGAATAATGAGTGATGAGAAAAACTATTCGAGAGTTGGTGGTCAGTGGAAGAATGATGGATGCGGTCTATATCGAATACGGGCAAATTCAGAGGTGAATTTCTATTCTGGATTATTCATGAGTTCAGTGCCCACGTCCTCCACGGCTGCTTCGCGCGTATATTCCTTCCCTTGCCTTGTTTGCTGACTCAACTAGTATCCACTTGGAACGAGTCAGTCCCCAAAAACCTGTTTGTGTCGAAAGAGCTGTCCATTATTGAAGATACATTCGACTTCGGTCCCCCGATAGAATAAATGGGTCGGCCCGAAATCCAAACCGCCGTTCATGGAATCCCAGACTTTCTTTCCGTTGTAATTTAGCCACGAGTGCGTGTGTGGTTCGCTAGGACAGAAAGCGACTTTTTCGCGTTTCACAGCGCGAAAAAGTCGCTTTCATTCTCAGTGAGGCCGATGTCATAGTTTGCGAATCGAGCGTTGCGCCAGCGAATCGAACTTTGCGCCAGCGAGTCGAACGATGTACCAGCGAGTCGAACTAGGTACCAGCGACTCAATAGTGGCGGGACCCAACGTTTAAAGGAAGCCCGCCACTTTCAAACAGTGTCACGTGACAGTGGACGCTGTTTGAAAGTGGCGGGACTTTGCAGTGGACACTGTTTGAAAGTGGCGGGCTTCCTTTAAACGTTGGGTCCCGCCACTATTGAGTCGCTGGTACCTAGTTCGACTCGCTGGCGCAAAGTTCGATTCGCTGGCGCAACGTTCGATCGCGATTCGCTAGCGCAACGCTCGATTCGCAAACTATGACATCGGCCTGAACGTTTTTCGCTGCGAGATCCTCAGAACCAACGCTGATCATGAGTGGACCTAATGGTCCCACAGTGAAAAATGTTTCGCGCTGTGAAATGCGAAAAAGTCGTTCCCTGTTCTATGGAACCATACCCCCTCTCACCCCCCCCCCTTCTTGACCAAGTTAGCATCACAATGGGTTGTAAAAATGATGAAATTTGTAAAACAGCTAGTGAATACCTGTCCCAATTGGGAATCATTTCATGGAGGAAAACGAGATCTTCGTATAATTCTTGTTCGTAAAGTGACTGGATGTGGTCAAACAATCGCATGTAGTCTGCAAAAGCCACAGAATCATCTTTATAAATGTAAACAAAATGCGGTTCGAAAACGAGTTCAACAGGGTCCGTAGCCGCAGTATATGCAGCGTTGAAAGCAAGTCAGCACAGGAGCACTTTATGCACCAAGCCTGGGTAGCTCCATAGCCAAAAAATGAAGTGATATTCATGACCGAGGTGCTAGCTAGTCCCAGTAGGTGGAAATTTGTTTTTTTTGACTTTTTGGATCGGAGTAGCGTAGAGTGCAAACATTCACAAAATTTAAATGCAGCAGTCGCGATGGCTGAAGCGGAGACGAGTTGACATGCTATCATTGATGAGCGTGGTCATTGGTAAAATTCGGTTGAAAGGCGGTCGTTACGCCTTCCAACCACAGGTTTTCTTCCAACAATGGCGTGTTCAGCTCGTCTTCGCCTCTCAGCGATCGCAACCATTTTGTTCAACTACTGAGGTTAAAGTCTTTGGCTTAGCCAAGCAGAACGGTCGCACCATGAACACATGTCTAGTGCGGGTTAGTTTCGCTAGAGGGAACAACCTTTCCGCTTTTCGCAGCGCGACACCTTTTCGCTGCGGGAACCCCAGGTCCACTAATGATCAGAGGTGGACGGGGTTCCTGTAGCGAGAAAGCCTCGTACTGCGAAAGACGAACACCTTGCTTCCAGCGACCCACACCCGCCTATTCCTCATTCGAGCACTAGCAAGTGAGGAGCTTATTACCGTGGCTTCACTTGTCAGGGGTGCGCATACCCGAACAAGCAAAATACCCGAAGCAAGCCAGGGAGGGAAATATTCGTAAGCGTGGGGCACTCGCGGCTAATTCTGCAACGAAAAAAAAACAAGAACGAGTTTTGAAAGTTCTAGAGGCGACTGTCTGGATTTTAGGTGGGCTTTGATTGCTGACTTCACTTCTCCTTCAAGAGTCTAGTTGTACGATCATTGATGTAACTCACGGCTCAGCTTAGAGGCGATGATTAGGGCCTTTGCTACCAAACTTACTACTAAGGCATCCACCTGGGATCGAATAATGAGTGATGAGAAAAACTATTCGAGAGTTGGTGGTCAGTGGAAGAATGATGGATGCGGTCTATATCGAATACGGGCAAATTCAGAGGTGAATTTCTATTCTGGATTATTCATGAGTTCAATGCCCACGTCCCTCTCACGGCTACTTCGTTATATTCCTTCCCTTGCCTTGTTTGCTGACTCAACTAGTATCCACTTGGAACGAGTCAGTCCCCAAAAACCTGTTTGTGTCGAAAGAGCTGTCCATTGTTGAAGATACATTCGACTTCGGTCCCCCGATAGAATAAATGGGTCGGCCCGAAATCCAAACCGCCGTTCATGGAATCCCAGACTTTCTTTCTGTTATATTCCTTCCCTTGCCTTGTTTTCTTTCCGTTGTAATTTAGCCACGAGTGCGTGGGTGTGGTTCACTAGGACAGAAAGCGACTTTTTCGCGTTTCGCAGCGCGAAACATTTTTCGCTGCGGGAACCTCGGGTCCACGATGATCAGCGGTGGACCTGAGGTTCCCGCAGCGAAAAATGTTTCGCGCTGCGAAACGCGAAAAAGTCGCTTTCCTGTCCTAGTGAACCACACCCCGAGTGCGTCAAGGAGGAAGAAGCTCCGGGGCGGATCCACTTCCATGAAATTAAAATTCCTTGGTGCTAGCGTAGTTGACCCCTCAACTACGCGAGCACCAATTCCTTTTCCACACGAGGCTAACGGTCCAATTGTTTGCACAAAATGTCCAGCACTAGAAATCAAAACAAAATATTTCGGGTAAACAATTCGGGTGGGACACACTTATTCTACGCCTAAAGAAGGCGGCGGTGCAGCCACACCGCAAACACAATATGACACGCTTTCATATTCAGTTCTGTGCTGCATTTCTCCATTCCACTGCTTATAGAGGTTGATTTGCACACCACTTCCTCCATTACTATTGTCTATTAGTAATTAATTTGCTTATGCTGCTCTGTGAGCTTCACTTGAATATTGAGGACTGTATGTTTTTGAAGCTTTGGACTTGACTCAGATTTGGTTCCGTACCGTTAAGTGCCAAGCATCTCGGACCCCATCAAAACATCCATGTCCTTTAGGTCATTATCGAACGTTCGTCTCCACGTGTTTCTGGCGAGGCCTTTTGCCCTTTTGGCTGTTGTAGGAAGCCAGTACACGGGTGTGGTTCACTAGGAGAGAAAGCGACTTTTTCATGTTTCGCGCGCGGTATTTTTCTGGGAGCTTCAGGTCCTCTCATGATCAGCGGTGAACCTGAGTCCGTAGCAAAGAGCGTTCCGCGCTGCGATACGCGAAAAGTCACTCTCTGTTCTTGTGTACCGCAATCGCCAGTGCATGGCCTTTGTAGAGCATATGCAGGATATGTCCAGCCAGTGAGCCTACACTTTGCCACAAACTGTAGAGGCTGTATACCTGAGCGTAACAGGATTTCTGATTGGTGATACCGTATTTTCATAATACAGCGAGGGCACCGTTGGAAAAGCATTTATTTCCGCGGAGAGGCTGTTGCGGATGACTAGCTTGCGGTGGTTCAGTGGATTTTGCAGTGAGGATGAATATGTGCACAGAGAGAAGAAGTGAAACGCCCTCGCTATTTCGCCGTAGAAGAGGTTATATAGTTGTGACTGTTTCTGCTTGTACAGTATTAGCCCGCCCGTAAGATGTGAGGTCGTGAGGGAATCATCGACAGCGATGAGCAGGCGATGATGCGCCGGCGAGGCGGCAAAATGAACAGTGTATGGGACAGTTCGACCGATATGGAATATGTATGTTTTTTGTTGTTGAGCGGTTTATGGGAGGTTGAAAGTATCGATAGACGACGTTGTTGAGACGCTGAAACTTGGCGGCGTGAAGACTACGTGATTACTGGTGGCGATGGATAGGGGAAGCGTTGTTGACGGCGATGGTGGTGTCGTTACAGGCTGTGCAGGAGCCATTGTAGCTGTAGAAGGGATCGGTCAAGTTGATGAATTAAGAAGCTCAAGCAAACAAAATGTTGCAAGCTTAAACTTCGACTTTCGTCCACGTAGGTTGTGGTGTACCCTGCTTAGAACGATGCTACCAAATATACGCTCTCAAAGGAAGTGGTCACGATAATTCTCATAGGGACGATAAGGAAAGCTGTGTATTGGAGTGGATAGGGGTCCTGCCCAATGTTAGAACACGTGAAGTTTCAGTGGCAGTGGAAATCCACTTCCGGTTAGCAAAACCAAGACTTATCGATGTGGAAAGGGGTGCGATAAGAGCGTGCTAGATATGATACCGTTATCGTTATCGTCCCGTTTTCATTCTGGAGTGCACCTCTTATCAAGCAGCCGCACCTTCTTATCTCATCGTATCATATCTTCCATGGGCTTACACTCGTCCAACAATTACTGCCTCACACCTTATCGATTGATAACGCGAGGGTAGCAAATCCAGCGTGGAAGCCAGCGTGATCGCTTCCTTTAAGTGAGCTATTTTGAAATGTCGCTTTCGACCAATAATTCTTTTCATTATCAGAACAACAACAGAGCATATCGACCGCAAAGCATAGCCACCCTGTCTATGGCTTTTCTCCTTTTCTTACGCAAAGCAGAATGCTTCCCTCGAAGAAGTGTTTAGGCTTCGACTCGAAGGAGTGAAACTCAAATTTCGACGTATCCGTGGTCATTGCGCAACCTTGCTACTAAGGAGTGTTACATTGACTTGAGTCAGCGATTTTTGGACAACGGAAGATCTGAACATTATGGCGCTCGAGGCAGAGCGTTCCAGCCCGACTCCTCAATTTCTTGTTGCGTGATTTTCGCGACAGTAATCTTACATTATAGTGATATGGTTTCACATTAGCTGAATTTATGACGACGTATCATTTCATCCATGCAGGTGCTGGGGTAGAACTCAGCTGTTACTGTTCGACTTACAATCAGCACCCCATAGTTAACTAGTCCTAATTGATTCACCGCACGATGAGAGGACTTTTCGATGTTTCGGTTTCGCAATCACGGCGTTGTTTCCACTTTGTTATTAGAGAACATCATCTTGTGAAATGCGCTCACATCGAAGTCACAAACCTTCTTCCTCTTCGGAGTTATGGAAAAGTTTCAGTATTGGCAAGCCAGTACTGCTTGCTCGCGTCGCTCAGGATAGGCCGAACCCATTTTCTGTGAAGAAAATCTTTATGTCGTACATAGAAGTTTTAAGTTCCACTGTTGATGCAGTCGAAGCTTCATGCAAGTTCTTTGTGAAGATTCTCCAGTGACAGCGACTGAAACCTGTTGTCAAGCTCAGCGCCCTTTAACTATTCTGAAGCATCCTTATTGGCAGTACACTGTCCATAGACCATTTAGGGGGGTTACGGTAACAAGTTCACAGCCCACAAAATTTTTCACTCTAATCGCTACGAGTTTTCAATGTAAGTGTTTTGTATTATATGGTTACCTGAAAGCTTCCTCTTCAATTCTGCCCTATAGGCTGGGTTAATTTTAGAATGGCCAGGGCTTCAGCTCATTCGTGAAACGATCATCTGTTTTCACCGCCAAGGTGTTCGATTGTGTGCATAGCAAAGCGGCTTGGAGTCGCCAGGAAAGCTCGTATCGACCATTATTGCAAGGTTCCAAGGAGTTGGGAACCACTAGCGGTCGACTTGGACGCGGAAGGAAAACTACTGTTTTTACCAAGGATAACATTGCTAAGGTACGCTGGAAGTTGCGCTGGAACTCGGCGCGTTAATTTCGCCGTTTGTCTTCAGAAATAGGAATCAAGCGTGGCTCTTTGCGAAACATAGTCACCCAACTAGCCTACAAACGCCTACAAACGTAGGAAGGTTCATTTTCTGACCGACGCGGCCAAGCTGAAAGGAAAGGAGCGGTGCAAGAGATTGGTGCCTCAATTCCACAATGGTCGTCACACGACGATTCTTTTCATTGACGGAAAGTGTTTACAGTTGAACCCATCTTGAATAAACAAGGCGACAGAATCTACGCAACTGCCAGACCAACGTCAGTCATACAAAAGACATCAAATCCAAAATCAGTGATGGTTTTTGCTGGCATCACATCGGAGTACAAGACGCCTTTAATCTTTGTTCCTCAAGATATACAATTAGACAGCATGGAATACCTCGAGCTCCTTCGAACCATTGATGCCTTGGGCTAAAGAGACCTTCGGAAGTAAGCACTGGACATTCCGGCAGGACGGTGCGCCTGCGCACGAGGTGGTTCAAAAGTGGTGTCGACAAAATTTCCCGGATTTAATCTCATCCGAGGAGTGACCGCCTAGTTCTTCCACTGGACCCTTTGGATTACTCAGTATGGAGCATGCTAGAGATCAAGGCCTGCTCCTCACACCATCGAAATGTCGACGAGCTAAAGGAGTCACTTCAAAAAGCCTGGGATAGCCTCGACGCAGACTATCTACGCAACGCGGTCGATGCCTTCCCAAGAAGACTTCGCTCCTGCATTGACGCAGAGGGCGGCCATTTTGAAGAGTGAAGCGGTTTTCTCTTTGTAATCTTTCCATGAATAAATATGCGTTGTCCATTAGTGCCGTTGAAGCTTTATTGGTTTTCTATGACCAACCTATCTTGTTACTATTTTTTGCCCCTCCCCCACTTGTGCAGTCAGCCGGAAGATTGGTCCACAATGTCAAGCGGAAGATTTGTCCCTCAGAATATTTCAACGCTGCCTCTTCTCTATGACGTGGAGTAATCGGACACCTTGTGAGGTGAGAAAAAATTGTGACCAAGGATGAATGAAGAGGCACATTAAATACGAAATGTTTTCAAGTGTTACGGTTTTTGGTGGTGAACTCGGAAGCCATTTTCTCTTGCGAAACTGTATGTCACTGCATCAGTGAAAGACCTAACTGTGAGTTTGTAAATGAGTCTATAAGCAGATCATACTTGTAAGGCATTTATTTTACGTGATGTGTTCGTGAAAAAACATTTCCGCCTGTGACTCTTGAATTGTTCTTAGTATGTAAACTACCTGTGTTATGAAACTGCAAATATTGATTCAGTCACGCCAAGTCACGCCAAAATGAAACATCTCCGAAACAATACTGTCGCCATGGAACTAAGCTAGCCTGATAATGCTGTACGGATGGATGTAAGCTGTTACATTGGCCCAGGGCTCCGACATAAAGCGAAATCAATCTCTTACAAAACATTGTGCGTGCGGCTATGATCCTTCAAAAGAAGCGATTACGATAAGGAATTTTCGCATCGGGGGAGAACCTGCGCCACACGGAGCAATTACTTGGCTGTGTGGCGCTTCCACGGCGAAAGGTGCTGTGGTTGCTGAGCAGGACCTCCGCAGCACTCCGCCTCCAGCAGCGTTACGCCCACTTGTTTGATGATGACCTGGATGGACTGCTGTTGGCTTTTCATTTTGGGAGATCGTTTCCCTTTTATCGGCTGTATCTTCCAACTTGCCCATGTATTGCCTTATCAATCAAACACTATGCTTGTTGGCATGATGGCGGCTATCGGGGTTAACACGTCCGAACAAGCGTTATTCTTCACCGTCGCTCATCCATTGTCGAAAGTGGAAGGGCAATCAAAGTTCGCCAGTGGCAGTTCCTTTGAAGTTCTGCGAGATCATTCTTCTCAACCTGCTCATTGGCGGTACCTACGAATACATGTTGTTGTTGAACCCTAGCACGCGCTCATTCGCCTTCCGATACCTGAATACCTGATATTTTAAACAGAACTTTTATTGATAATTACGTCGAAAAAGTTAAATTGAACACATGCACAGTATTAAGAAGTTCTTTTTCACAAAATTTCTTGCTCATTCATCCAAGTTACAATTGTCCTGCAGATTTGTGCCACACTCTTGTTACGTCGTCTCTTATATCCTGGACAATTCGGAGTGCAGCGGTGTTTCGGTATGGCCAGTACGATGGGACTTTGGCAGAATTCACACTCCCTTTTCATTAATCTACCACTGCTTGAAAGAGGCCACGACGTCATCTGGATGGATCTCACTTTTGCAGTATCTGCAGATTTTTTTTCCTTCTCAACGTTTCTCTTTCTTCTGATTCTTGCATTGCAGTACATGTATATTTCTTCTTTCATCATTTTTTCATCTTTTTTTCTCCCGATTCCTTTTTCTTCTGTGCCACGTCTCTTGTTACGTCGTCGCTTATATCCTGGACAATTCGGAGTGCAGCGGTGTTTTGGTATGGCCAGTACGATGGGACTTTGGCAGAATTCACACTCCCTTTTTCATTAATCTACCACTGCTTGAGAAGGCCACGACGTCATCTGGATGGATCTCACTTTTGCAGTATCTGCAGATTTTTTTTCCTTCTCAACGTTTCTCTTTCTTCTGATTCTTGCATTGCAGTACATGTATATTTCTTCTTTCATCATTTTTTCATCATTTTTTCTCCCGATTCCTTTTTCTTCTGTGCCACGTCTCTTGTTACGTCGTCGCTTATATCCTGGACAATTCGGAGTGCAGCGGTGTTTTGGTATGGCCAGTACGATGGGACTTTGGCAGAATTCACACTCCCTTTTTCATTAATCTACCACTGCTTGAGAAGGCCACGACGTCATTTGGATGGATCTCACTTTTGCAGTATCTGCAGATTTTTTTTCCTTCTCAACGTTTCTCTTTCTTCTGATTCTTGCATTGCAGTACATGCTTATTTCTTCTTTCATCATTTTTTCATCTTTTTTCTCCCGATTCCTTTTTCTTCTGGGTTCTTGACCCTCTAAAGCTTCACTGACTGTACAGCGACTCGCTCTGATGCCATCTGCTCTGATGCCGTCTTTTTCTTTATTAACTTCTCTTATCGTCTTCAACTCGGCTTTGAGCTCCTCCATCTCGCCAGCTGCTTCTTCGAGGCGTTCTTTCAGATAGCGTGACTCCTTTTCCGCCTCTTTATTGCGATTTGATACATGTTGTTAAAATTCTTGATAAAACCTGAGCCGTCCAGTTTCGGTATCGTTGGTGACGTCGGAGTCGGTCGGTCCACCTCGCAGTAGGGTACCTATTTCCTCCTGCGCTTTATGAAGTCTATGATAGAGCGTCTCTATTTCCTCGGTCATTTCCTCGATCTCGGAGTGTTGGTGTTCCATTATATCAATTACTGGCTATGGTATAATTCTCTGGGATGAGACCACGTTGTCCAAGAATTCCTTGCAATGCAGTAGATAGTTTGCTACCGGTGTTGTCGCCACTGACCGAAAGCAACAGAAACAAATGGTTTTATTAGGAACCGAAACAACAAAACAAAAAAACGGGTTTATCAACAGCGAAGCGAGTACGACTTCACACAAAAAAAACAACAATCAATGAATAGGAGACAAGGCTCCAATGGAGAAGAGAACTAGATGATGGGGGGAAAACGGGAGCGCGGGGGGAAGTTCCCAGCTAGAGCACCTCAAGAATAAGAACCACAATAAGAACGCCCAATCTTTCCCCGGGTTTATATTTGGCCGCGCTGGTCGATGGCACATGAATGAACAGGTCCAACTGATAACATGTAACAGCAACATTTAGCCTTAGCATTCAGTTATGAGCGAACAGGTCAAAAGTAGTGGTAACGTAACATCTCCCCCGTCGGGTGAAGCGGCGTCCTCGCCGCTTTGCAGCTTGACTGGACTCAGTGGGATCCTCTTCCACGTCGAAATTGGTGTCCTCTGCTTGGGAAGGTGAACGTCGCTGGTGTCCTCGTATATGGTTGTGCGGTTCCGGGACGGTACTGGTTGAAATTCCTGAATGCACGATGATGGTATGCTTCGTTTTTGCGTTTCTCTTTCTTTTCCTCGAAGTATCTGCGCACCCGTTCAGCTCTTGCTGATCTCATCGTTTTTTCAACTAACGTGGGAAGTCGCTCTTCTGATTTTATGTATTCTATCATGGCCTCCAAGTACTCGGACATTGTTTCAGTTGAGCATGTCTCGAAGCTGCCTCTCCTTGGGTGAGCTGCGGGTCCGTGTGATGGTTCATTGCCGCTCTCAATCAACGGGATCAGGCTTATGATGTTACGTGCCATTAAGGCAGCTGATTTCTTGCGAGATTCACGGCCTGATTTATTTCAATTCTACTTTGAGCGTAAGCCAGCATCTCCACGTGGTGGCGCCAGGACGATAACTCTGGTTCCATTGCGAGCTGCTGTGGCTAAAGCTGAGGCGAATCTACACCACTCTTTCTTTGGCGGAGTGACATCCAGCGTTGGCCCCACTACAATACAAGCATTGATCGACACTGTTTCTAAACATGTACTGACTTTATTGAACTTGTAGTACACTTTCCTTTCGACGTTGCGCTGCGGCTTGAATGCTGAGTTCACTTGTCTGAATCCATCCGGTAACAGCAATAATGTCGTATGTTGTCGTTGAGTAGTGTTCGCGATTTGCTAGTGCGGTTTGACTTTCCTAAGATGATCAGCTACAAGTACCTCAAACGAGATTTATCCAAAATCAGACAACACAAAGAAAACAAGAAACTTTTACAATACAAAGAACACCTGAAAACAACTGAGATATCACTATGGAGCAGTAGATTTCACCTTGGCCTGTTGAGGTAGGATCCAGCGTACGGGTCGGCGGTAGTGTCGATCTGAGTACTTGGCCGCGGGCGACGATTCCGGGGTCGTCCAATAAGCGAACTGAACCCTACTTCCAAGTGGGCCTCTGGCTGCAACATTCAGATAAGATATAATATGATATGATAAGACATAAGAGAGCTGCTATCGCTTTACATGTTATCGCTTGTTACATGATTAGCTCGATGATAGCGGCGTTCTTTATCATATCTACAACCCCCGGGCTATCTAGCGAGTGGTCCCTTCACTCGCATTTACAATAAGAACTCACGTGTATCGTAGTGATGATCGGGATGTCTCACGAAACGTCCTCGTTTCGGCCTCATTCCACCGTATACTTGTTTTTCAGAGTCGTTAATGCTCCTTTTTCGGCTGCTCTTTTTATCCTCTGCCTCGACTTGGGGTTCTGGCCACGAAGGCACCCAATACTTACGCACTTTTTCATAGAAAATGCGTGCTTTGAAACGCCCGACCATATCGTGGTTGTCATATGGGTCACTACCCAAACATCGTATTGGGTTATCCCATTCTTCAGCCGGAGCATCGTCTCCAAACCATTTGACCTTCTAGGAATTGAGCTACGGAGCGTAGGATAGCTGACACATTCGCTGCCGTCTGGCCCCATAGACGGATATTCGACTCAGTGTTTTGCTCGCGTGGAGCCATGCCCATTGCAAGGCTTACGTCCAGAGATCTTATTCTTTCCAACCATGGTCGTAGTAGGTATAGTGCAGTGTCTCTGTCCGAGAATTCTTTTCCGACCACCACTAATACATCACTTTTGTCATCCGGAGGTGGCATGGAGTTTTTACCGTAAACCACGCCTTTTATATCCACAGGCAACCATTTTAGGATATTCTCTAGACTTTTAGGCACGAAAATCGTTTGCAAACGTCTGGGTTTCTCCCAAGGACCTTCCCAGTTCCTTTCGCGAATGAGATTCATGGCACGTTGGAATGTTGAGCTGATTCTTTTGCTCGATGAACCCATACGAACATGCTCATGGTATATATCCGATGGTTCCAACTTTTCTTCACTGAGCTGGAAATGAAGACAATTCTCTCTATAATACAGCAGAGCTATCGCTAGCGCTTCTGCTGAAAAGTCGCTTGTTCTTTTTGCCATCTGAACGAGCTGACCCCAGAGGGATGGGCTTGGTTGGCCCGGGCGACTCACGACCCAGGATTTGATCCCCGGACCGCTCGCGTGGTAAGCGTGCCACTTGCCACTACACCACTTCCGCTTAACATTGGTAGAAACAACAAATAAATAAAAGCCATCAGTTCAGCAGACATACGTTCAGAAAGAAACAATTTTAGACTTAAAATAATTGATCTCCTATATAATTTTAGTTTTCCTTGCACATGCGTTCAGTAAGAATCAATTTTAGACTTAAAATAATGGTTCTCCTATATCAGTTTAATTTTCCTTGCCCAACCGCATTGTCGCAAAAATCTCTTTATTTGTGTATTTGGTTGTTCAAATAAAAGGAAGGCATTTTTGTGTCCGAACTGAAAATACTCGAGCTCCACTGCATGCCCATATACTATTCGAAAAATCGAGTGCTGTTCAAAAGACTGGTATTCGCATCGCATTCCACTATTATTTTGGAATCCAGTCATCATCAGTAGTGTGTTTTATAACTCCAACCAAGAATTTCCCAAAATCTCACAAATTTAGATGTTTTAGAAAAAGTCTCTAATGTGGCAGTGTGTCAAATACAAATACGAAATTCGCCTATAAACATCAACTTCCAACTTGAGATCCCAGGAATTTTTTCTAATAATTTTTGTTCAAAAGGCCACGCCACGTCCCAAAATTATAACTCCACCTCATGTTTTTCTATTATTTTTCACTTCCGTTTCGCCAAACTTTTTTATTGTGCTAACATCCTACTTCTCAAGGGGACAGTATGATAGAAAATGCTGTCTGACTTTTTAAAAGGTCAGGTCGTCGCAAAAACTACTAATTAGGCAATCGCACAAGATTTTGACCAAATTCACGAGGAGCTCGAGAATTTTTCAGGGATTTTACATGATATGGAGTTGAGAAGAGCTCCAAAGGATCTCCCCTTGCTTTTCGGTAGAAACAAAGGCCGTGTCACAGAAGAAACATCCTTTTTTATGAAGCCGTGCTCTGCCATCAAATCTTCTTCGGAACTTAATGGCTCAACGGAACAATGTTTTTTGCTTGCGAATAAGTCCCAAGTTGATTCTTGAGTGGAAAACGTGAAAGGCATCATCTGTGGCAGAAAACCATGGCGATGCGAATACCAGTCTTTTGAACAGCACTCGATTTTTCGAATAGTATATGGGCATGCAGTGGAGCTCGAGTATTTTCAGTTCGGACACAAAAATGCCTTCCTTTTATTTGAACAACCAAATACACAAATAAAGAGATTTTTGCGACAATGCGGTTGGGCAAGGAAAATTAAACTGATATAGGAGAACCATTATTTTAAGTCTAAAATTGTTTCTTTCTGAACGTATGTCTGCTGAACTGATGGCTTTTATTTATTTGTTGTTTCTACCAATGTTAAGCGGAAGTGGTGTAGTGGCAAGTGGCACGCTTACCACGCGAGCGGTCCGGGGATCAAATCCTGGGTCGTGAGTCGCCCGGGCCAACCAAGCCTTCCATCCCTCCGGGGTCGGTTAATTGGTACCAGACTTGTCTGGGAGGATAAAAAAACACTGACTTGTACATCGGCTGGCCCCCGCAAGTCATTGTATAGGCCACATCGCATTCAAACGCCACTACGAATGTACAAATGGAAGTAGAATGCGTGCCGCATCCCAAAAAGGGATTGATCAACGGCAAATGCTTTATCCGTTGTTCTACTAATGCTTCCGTAGGCAAAAAAGACTTCTGTTGTGTATCTTGGGTGATAATATAGGAAATGAAACGAAGAAAACATGCGCGACCAGTAATGTTTGGCGACTCAGAAGTATAGTAGCTGTTGTATTAGAAAGATCAACATTTTCCTCACAATATCCTTTCCATTGATTCGTTACTCTAGGACGTGTTATAATAGTTTAAGAACTTTAGTGGAAATGTATTCGAAGCATAACTTGTGGTACAGGTCATATCCTCGCTTTGCAGTATGGTTTCTGTTAGCGATTTTGTTGCCATCTTTCATTGTTGTGCTCTTAAATCTGTCGAAGTGATCGTCGAATCAGCTCTGAGGAAGCATACGATCCAAATCTAGCCGTTTGATTAGCCGGTGTTACGCATTCGATATGGCGACCCCCGCACTCGATGGATATCACGTAGATAAGCTCTTCACAGTATACGTTTTGCTGAGTTCCGCCAAGTGTATTGTGAAGTTGTTTACCCATGCGTTTTCTAACAAGTACGGAGGCCGACACGTGAAATCCCTAGACCCGGCCAATTGACAGCTAGACAGGGATTGTAGTATCCATTGCAAATTCATTGGGGCAGCCCTCGAAAATATAGCGTACATTTGTGCCTCCACTGTTTCTACGTGGATGGATACAGGCCGTAAACCGTTTTTATAAATCGCTACGGGAGTTCGAGAACGATGCATTCTCTCACTGACTCAGTGAAACATCGACCTTATCTCAATCATGAGAAATGCGTTGGTGAGTAACAGCTGGCATCAGCTTCGATCAAGGGAGGGGGCTCACAGATTTTTACTGAGCGTTGCTCAGTAAAAATAACGATAACGATAACGGATAAGGTTGCTCTTCGAAGTGGAGGTTAGTGTAGATTGACACACGTTACAACTAGCCGCAATAGTGAAGCAAGAATGATTGGATTGCGGCATCTGCACTAGCAAGTCGAAATTCACAAATATCCCCTTGCTAATGCTTTATGATGCTCGAGTGCAATTCGTTGTGTGAGGAAAGTAGCTAAGTTAGCAAAAACATGGCAAAGTCTGGGAAGGCACCTTACTGACCTTTATCTGCTTTCGAATCTGGCGCGGCGTCATGGTACAGAAAACTGTTATGTACAGCCCACATCTCGCTGTCTGAATAGGCGGGTCCACAGACATGACACACACTTGATGGAGGTCGCGTTTCCAACATACGTCGCTAGATCAACATCGCATGATGAAAGCAGCTTATCCACGGGGCTTTTATCATGTGCCGACCGCTTTGGCATGTCTGTAGAGCCGCATACTCAAACGGCAAGATATGGGGCTGTTCCATACCCTCCCGCTGAACTAAGGGAACGAAAAATCGCTTCAAATTTTCTTTGTTTTTCCAACAAAAATCGCCCTGAGAAATTGCATATTTGCTATGTATATCTAATCCATATCTCGAAGTCAGATTAGGCGTGTCTATGGGTTTGACGTGGCGGCCGCCGCACTTGATGGAAGTTGCGCGGATAAGCTGCTTCCAGCATGCTTGCTGATATCCAACGGAGTATGTTAGAAACAGCCTATCCACACGGCTTTTATCAAGTGCGGCAACGGCCACGTCAAATCCATAGCCACGCCTAATCTGACTTCGAGATGTCGACTTCGCCCGGTATCGTGCATAGTATCGTGCATATGCGTATAATTATTACACATAGCTCTGTAAACACTCGGCCATTCTCCTGAATTTTGATAATTTAGCGGTGAATAGGGTTATGGTGTTAGCCTCACAATTAAATTGCAACATTATCATAAGTGAGCATCTAATGCTGATCCTTCATTCACAGTGTTCGCAAATCCTAAGCTTTGGCGGTCATTAAATGAGTTCTGGTCTTCTTGGTATTAGATCAAGAATGGAATGTACCATTCGCCAAGAGTCTGCTCAAGCCAAGCTGATTATATCGATAGAATGTCCACGACCCACCCCTAATAACACTTATGAAAAGAGCCCCATAGTGCCAACGTGAACTGCGCAATGGAATTGCCGACTTCTGCCTTCTAAGACTCCTTATCAGCCCCTATCAGTTGCTATCATTTTTGTCGCCCACCTACAATGTCCAGGTACCACCCCATATAACACTTGTAATTATGAACGCTCAAGTGTCAATGTCAGCTGCTCAACGGAATGGGGACTTGTGAGTTCAAGGCGCCCTGACAGCCCTTATTAGTTTCTATCATCCTATTTCACCCACAGTGTCCCGGTACCACCTCACATAACACTTGTAAGTATGAACGCGAACGCTAGAGTCAAATTTAATGAAAAGAAAAAATCGAGAAGGATTGGGAGAAAAACTAAAACCGCGCGCATCAAATGGTGGGCTTTAGTGGAGGTAGTGAAAATATTCAGAAAAAAATTCAATTGGGTTTGAAAGTAAAAGGAAACAAAGGAAAGTCACTGACGAATACACGGGTGTGGTCCACTAGGACAGAAAGCGACTTTTTCGCGTTTCGCAGCGCGAAACATTTTTCGCTGCGGGAACCTCGGGTCCACTGATTATTCGCTGCGGGAACCTCGGTCCACTGATGATCAGAGATGACCTGAGGTTCCCGCAGCGAAACTTTCTGTCTTAGTGAACCACACCCCGAATACACAGGCGCGGGAAGCAGTAAATGCCTAAAACCTCGCTCGAATTTGTCGCGCGGTTTCCCGCACGCGGCAAGCCGCGTGTACGACGTCGCGCGGTGACTGCCCACAGGCCTAATCCTTAGCTCTTGCTTTACAGCCAAACCCCCGAAATGAATTCGATCCTACTGAATGGTTGTTCTTATACTGGTAGGAAAGTGGTATCACAATCACGATATCTTTCGCCTCTAGTCGACCATTTTGCGGACGGACAGACAGACGTGCAAACACACACAAACAAACCGACACACCAAACTTCTGGTTTATATAATGAAGTGATGTAAAAGCAAGAAAGTACGGGAATTAAGGGAAGAGTACCTTTGAAAACAAATAAATTTAAAGCACTTTTCCTCCCCTAGCTTGGGGGAAGAATAGGATACGGCCCATAGACTGTGCACAGCGCTTCTAATTGAGATGTAGGTGACATGAAAGTCAAGTCATTTTGTCAGTCAGTATTATCGTAAAAACATATTGCAAGGGTTATTGCAT